TATCCAAAACTATATAATACTTGTGTATCCATTGTATCCATGCTAGCCATCCTTTACCATAAGGAGAGCATATGATTTATCCAAAACTATATAATACTTGTGTATTCATTGTATCCATGCTAGCCATCCTTTACCATAAGGAGAGAATATGATTTATCCAAAACTATATAATACTTATGTATCCATTGTATCCACTAAATATCCTTCACCATAGGTAGAGCATATGATTTATCCAAAACTATATAATACTTGTGTATCCATTGTATCCACTAAATATCCTTCACCATAGGTAGAGCATATGATTTATCCAAAACTATATAATACTTGTGTATCCATTGTATCCATGCTAGCCATCCTTTACCATAAGGAGAGCATATGATTTATCCAAAACTAAATAATACTTGTGTATCAATTGTATCCACTAAATATCCTTTACCATAGAGAAAGCATATGACTGACCCAACACTGCAAGTGTATCCAGTATATCCATTACAAGATATATCTAACACTATAAAATACATGTGTATCCACTGTATCCCCTGTAGCAATTATCTACCTTATGAAGAGGCACGTTTTAACATAGAAAAACGATAATATCTTCTTTAGTATTACTAAGGGTATATACCTCGTTAATAGGGAGGGGCGGGGGGACAGTCCCATTAAATTCATATCTTTTTATTTAAAATAAATAAAATAATGTCAATTTTGTGCGGGCTGTTGAGGAGGTTTATTGAAGCCCTGATTGCCAATAAATATGTATAAATGACTTGGCAATTATATATCGGTATATTAACCTCGTACAATGATATAAAGTGGAGCCGACCCACCGCCCCCCTCACAGCTCTCACGAGATTTGACAAATGAAAGTATCAACTATCAAATGTTGGGCTTTTCCAGGCAGGCATTCCAGTAAATATTTAAAATTAAAATCAAAATTTTCAAAGATAAATTTATTTATATAAATTAGAAAAAATTAAATTTCTTATTTTACATATTTTAAAAAATATTCGACTTATAGGACTGCCAGCACGTGTATTGAGGCCACCCAAGAATAATGATCAAATTTATAGAAATCTTCGAAACACAAATATTTCATTATTTACGGAAAAATTTCACCTGAAAGCCCAACTGCTGCCTGTTGCTTAAGCTTAATTATCCATGTACAGTAGGACAGAAATAAAAAGTTAAAAAGTTTCTAAATCAAATTATACCTTATATATCATTTCAATGAAACATTTCAAAATAGAATAATATTTACCCCAACAATAATAAAAAAGACCTAATTTATAACGCATTTAACATTTTAATTTCATCAAACAGAAAAGTTTAAATAACAAAAAATATTTTCCCTGTTTAAGTGCCAGCTTTACTTTAGCCCGGTTCATAGATCGAGCTGTAGCTATGACTTGACAGCTGAGCTGTAGCTAGTTAAAGCTGTTTGAGTTTTCTAGTCAATGAACGCACCTAGATCAGACCTTAGGTGTGACTTCAAATCGTAGCAAAATTTCAGTTGATCCAAATCATACCTCAGCTAGGATTTAGCTCCGACTTCACAGCTAAATCACAGCTAATGGGAACAAACTGGACGCCATTATTTACAGAATCCAAATGAAATGGGAACATTTATTCAGCCATTAAAATGAAAATATGAAAAATCGAATATAATATTTTGTTGTATTGTTTTACTTTTAGTTTATCAAAAAAAGAATAGTTAATTTTAAGTTTACAAAATGAAAAGATAATTGATCAAATTTATATTGCAATTAAAATGTAAATTGTTCATAAACAAATGATTAAAAATAAATTCGAAAATTTGATTTTTCAAAAACAAATTTTGGTATTTGAAGAAATGAAAGGGAGGGGGGCGTTGGGTCCAAGGGGGAGGATGCATTTTTATAAATAAATAAATATTAAAATTGCATATTCATCTACATAAAACTAAAAAATTTTACTCTTTGTTTAGACAAATTTGTCAACAAAATATGATGAAATTTTCAGAATTTAGTATCTTGAAATTTTGTAATACAAATTTTTTTGGTAAAATTTTGTCCTTTTTTAAAAGACGACTTTATTAAAGAGATCGCTTTTTGTGCAAATGCCCAGTAAGATTTCAATTTAAGCTGTCAAATTGCTATGACTTCGCAGCTTGGATTACAGCTTAGCTGCGACTCGAAGTCACAGCTATCAAATGCTATGACTTGAGACTAATGAACGAGGTGTGATCCAATTTTGAGATCAGAGCTCATAGTCGTAGTTACAGCAAGTTACAGCTTGTTCTATGAACCGGGCATTTGTTTCTACATATTTATCCGTAGTTGCCACATGAAACCTTGCTGGATATCAGAACTGAGAGTCTTCTTTATTGTATTGAAATATACGGCAACCACTGTTCAAAACAAAAGAAAACTTTTGTTCAGTTTTAAATAGAAAAAAAATTCTACTGATCTGAAATGCAGAACTGCTCACTACACAAGGATTAAAAACAAACCATTTTTTGAAATCTTTGAAAAAAAATACGACAAAATGAACACGTCCAAAGATACTGTAGTTACCAAAGCATCCAAAGTGTTAAAATGTCAAACTGTTTATTAACGAGGAGTTGCCGACAATTCAAACCAGACCCGTCATTAATATTTATTGAATAGAATCATATTTTGTGTCAGGGTGATTTTCTGGTTTTATTACTGATAATTAGAACCGACAAGGTTTATGAAATGTTTTATAAGACAATTTTTTTGAACTTGCCGAAAATCCTCTTAAAGACTTTGCCATAAACTCTGATTTTCTTACCCTTATATCTTTGCAACCAAATGTCGTAGACTTTAGATATTTCAAACTATGAATTCTGTTATATCAAATAGTCTACAGTAATAACCAAAAAACTCTGTAGTAGGAAGCCGACTTTAAGACTCAAGTTAAAACTTTAAATAGTCCAATGAACATGAGGCACAGCAATTGTGCAGTGTAAACAGAACCATTTCACTTAATAAGTAATTAAATAACTTACAAGAAAATCTATTTGCTTTGTAACAACATCATTTGCACTTCAGTTTTGCTTTAATGTCGTTCTCCAATTCACTGTAAGTTTGAAATATCAAAGGGTTACAGATTGCAAAGATATTTAGAAATTATACAATTTCTTTACTCAAAAATCGGTTCTAATCCGCATATTATCCAAACGTCGAGACATGCTTTTAAAAAAAATCGAACTTATCAAGTTTTTGAATTTACGAAAGAAATTTATGCATGGATATATCTCACGCCTAATCTCATGCATGGATATATCTCACGCCTAAACTCATGCATGGATATATCTCACGCCTAAACTCATGCATGGATATATCTCACGCCTTCTTGATCAAACAAAGTTACCAAACATCTTTGCTTTTCTCACTTTTGAGCTTAAATAAACTAATCCCTCTTCAACAGTCAACTTCAGAAACAAACACAAAAAAATACTAAACAATCGTCCTTTCCCTTTATTCGATAAAAAATGGCGGATGTAAATATGTCAAATATGACGACATTTTTAGAATATTAGTTCAAACCCCAGGAGGTTGTTTTATTCAAAATTTATGATTTTAAACTTCAGTTAGGACAGATTTTAAACTATACAAGGTTTACAATGGCGTAATTTCACGAAATTCTCCGAAGTGAACCTTCAAGCAAAGATGTCGTAGCCCTATTTACAATTAATAGTTTCCTTATATGATAAATTATGGGTAAGATATTGTCATTTTCATGGTTTCAGATTGTTAAATTCTGATAATTCCTAAATGTTTTCCTACAGTAGAAAGACGCAAAATTGATTAACTTTAGAAGAACAGTCACAATTGAAAATAATTAATTTAAAAATGTTTAAAAATTAATATTTAATTCATACTTGGCCAGGCAAAGTTTATGAAGGTATCGTTGTGAATATGGTGTTGTCATCTTTTCATGGAACGTCACTTTAAACTGCGCTTACAGTCCCTTTAAATGAAACTTTTCACCTTTATTTTTAGTTGATTTAAAAAAAATTGACAAAGAAAAGTCTAATCTTTCCTTGGCAAGTTTTTTTAAACCTCCTTTGAGGTAACAAACAGAAATTGTGTTCGTTCGGTTTAGCCGTTTTGACGGTTATTGGATACAGACAAAAAGAAGAAAAACTATACATATTTATATATGCATATATAAAGGGCTACGTAATTTTAACCCTGAATATTATTATTCTATTTCATAGTAAAGATAAAAAACTGTCGTGTTTGTTTGTAACAATATCTTTACGTCCTTATATAATCGAACAGCTTTAAATAATCGAACTTTATCGCTCTCACAATGACGAGAATTAGAAATGCTAGATATCAAAACATTTTTTTCACGATTTCAGACACTCCTGCCCACACCACCTTTAATGATATAGCTACACCTCTAACTATATTTTGATAATAATTTGTTTTAAAAACTTTTCTTTAAAAAAAAGAAAATTAAACAGAGTAGATTTCATTTTTGAAAGGGGGTCGGGGAAAATTGGGCTTTCATTTGTTTGGTTCGGAAAGGATTAGATAAAAATCTTTAAAATCTTCTAATCCCAATGTCTTTGCAACGTTGGTTTTTCAACCTTTGATTTTAAGAATTTGTGGTTTTATAGTTTCGGGACGTAATTGTAATTGTAAAGCATAAATGTGAACTTCTCTCTTTTTCTTTATTTTTGAGGAATACAAAATAAGAACACACTAGACAAGTGGAGAAGGTAAATTTATGCAATATTTTTGGTCCAAATTTCTGCCCTCGTCGCTTTGAAGTTTTGAGTTTTTGCACAAGTATGAGATAAGCGAATTTATCCGGTTAAATATCAGAACTTTAAAAAATTTTGTCCTTGTCAATAGATCTTCAATAAGAGAAGTTAGGATTGAAAACATTGAAGATTTCAAGTTAACATGGAATTATTTTTTGTTCACAAAGAAATTTAGCACACTAAGTGAATAAGATTAATAATACTGTATATTATTTTTATTAAATCTACATATTATTTATTTTACATAGGGCTGACAATTTATACAAATATGGCTTCACAGAAAGAATGAATTAATATAATCTGACTAAAGGGTTTAGAATTCTCTACCATGTGTCTGGATTGGATAAGAAGGTTTTGGTTCTGAAAGCACTGGCATATACGGAGCCATGACAGGTTTAGGTTGAGGTGTAAACTGAGGTTGGGGTTGGGGATGAGAGAAGAATCCGTACTGAGAATAGTCTTGATACATGTTAACTAAAGGATTATAATTGTAATTATAGTAGTAGGATGATGTATCCTGATACTGGGATACAGGAGATACAGAACTAACTCCTCCGGAGATCTGTTTACGGAGTCTAGCTCTTCTGTTGGAGAACCAAACCTGGATTCTTGATTCAGACATTCCGGTCTTTTGTCCTATCTCCTCTCTAGTGTATACATCAGGGTATTGAGCTCTTTGAAAGTATTCTTCCAGAAGTTCTAATTGAGAATTAGAGAAAGTTGTTCTTGCTCTTCTTTGTTTTCTTTTTATTGTTAAACCAGGTTCAGTATCTATATCAGACTCATCACTACCTGGTCCAAGTATTCCATCAATACTATGGTTCTGTTTCTCTTCTCCTTCTCCACGTAGTAATCTAGATATAGTGGATACACTAGGTACAGATTCTAGATTACATATTCCGTCCTCAACTAATCTTTCCTTGATCTCCCAGCTAAATATACCAGGATTTAATTCTTGATACTCTTCAATCTTCTTCTCTATATCATCAGCTCCAGATCTAGGTTTACTCCCACCAATAACTCCGGGTTTAATACTTCCTGTCTCCTGGTATCTATTTAATATTTTAGAAACACAACCATGGCTGACTCTGAGCTGTCTACTAATAACACAAGGTCTTACTCCAGCAGCAGCCATCTCTATAATCTTCAATCTTATATGATTAGGTAGAGGTCGACCATTGATAAATACACCTCCGAGCTGGTTAACCCGGCCCTGGCCCTGGAACTGATAGCTAGAGAAAAGAGTCATCTCTGTATATCTTCTCCTTTCGAAATGTTGACTCGAACTGCCCATATATCTGGGTTCACCTGAACCCTAAGCTGTTGCCGCCAGGGAGCGCCGTTGGCGGCACTTTAGACCCTTGTCAGCAGAAGCAGGATTGATGAGGTGAAGGTACAGGCCACCTAGAGTGTCACTCACTGTCAACTCAACACCGTAAATTAAGCTTTTCGCTCTTTATACAAGTAAATTAGCCGCTTTTAAAGGTCACTAATTTAGAGAATTCCCTTAAAAATCACTTAAAAATCGAGTTAGACAGTGGCCGGGGCATATTAAGGAGGCGTGTTGGTGAAAGGAGAGAGGGGAGGAATGCCCCCCTCCCCCACCGCCTAGTATAGGTATACCCCTAGTTTTCGCTAATTTAATCAAAATTATCTATTAAAAATTCTCCGATAGTGATTTCTTTCAATAAATTTACATTGTATATTATTCATAGTTTTGAAACCCCAGGTTAGTTACTCCCGCCGTTTACCCGCACTTGAACAATTTTACCGGGAAATTAAATTTTCACTACTAAGGTCGACCCACTCAACTTAAGATCTCAAAACCAAGAATATTACCGTGGGTCTCCGGCCAAGTTCCCCAAACAAAATTCGAGGTAAGTCAGTCCAGGAGTTTCTGAGTTATGATCGGACAAACAAGTAGACACCCAGACAATCAGAGATTACAACTTTATAGAGATAGATATATTGCATGCAATATGCAGTACTATTATTTCGTATTTAATTCGATAACATGTTCAAACTATTATTTTTTCGTAAAGAATGTACAGTGTAGACCTTAACGCGGAGAGGTTTTAACTAGAAGGAACAGACATTTTAAAGTAAAAGTTTATTTAAGGTTTTTTAATCTTCAATATTGTAAAATTGAATTCAAGTTTCGACTTCAAAAGTTTTAAAAAGTTTTAAAGAAGATTGCTAAATTACTTTTATAAAAGCTTTGCAAGTAGATATTTAATTTTATTATACAAGAATTTATATCAAAATCATACTGATGCAAAATAAACCATCTGTATGTACACACTTTGCATGATTAAGAGAAATCTGTACATACCCAATATCTTTGTCTGTACAATGTACAATGTACATATCACATTTATCTCTACACTTTGGGTATTTATCTATGGACTGTACAGATCGGTATTTGAATTTTATCTACACAAGGATTTAGCTTGTTAAAGTAAAGGAATTGAGTTTTTGTCACAAACTCAAATCCTGAGATCTTTGCCACCTATACATCAATACATCAGTACATTGGGTTTCAAAGATATAGGGATTAGAAAATAAGTTCCTTTCACGCTATATTGGAATCTTAGATGTTTTCAATCACAACTAATTTTATTAATAAATTATTGAGAAGAACAAAAATAATTTAAAGGAACTGAGTTTTTATCACAAACTCTGATTTTCGAATCTCTATATCTGTGCAACCCGATGTTGTAGACCCTTGATATTTCAAACTATGAATTCTGTTAGATCAAAGTGTCTAAGTTTGAAATATAAAATGTTTACACCATCAGGTTGCAAAGATATAGGCATTAGAAAGTTTGACTGTGTGGTAAAAACTTTAAAACTGGAAGTGCAACAAGGTCACAAAGTCGTGGCAGCGGTATCGCTACGAATTGGTCCTTCTCCTTCAGTGGAACGTATGTAAAAGCTTATGAACATCTCCATTCTGTATAGATTATGAATCTTAAAAATACTTTTATAGCAATAATTTTATATTCCAACGAATTTTAAATTTTAAAATACTAATTTCTCTACATCAACCATAAAACTGTGGCAAAAACTAAATACAATTTATTTATTCAAAAATCAAAACTTTTTCTATTTTAAGGCCTTAAAGTTTGCCACAAATCTGACAACAAATACACGCAAATATCCCAGCAGCTGAAATGGCAAGAACTGGGATATTGAAGGGGTGGGGGGGTATAGTTGTTTCACGTAGATATTTTGTTTTACATAATTTTAAATTAAAATTGTGGCAAAGTTTTTAGAAATGAAAAAAAATAAAAATATTTTTAAGTAAACCTTCCTTCCCCCCCCCCCCCCC